CGGCTCTTCACGATGGACCAAGTTGCTTTCAGCGGGGACGCCTGCTTGAAGTGGGAGCCTGCCACCCCTCCGGGACACGCAGCTGCTACAGAGAGATCTCATTATTGGTTAGGATGGGTAAGACTTGCTTACAGGTGACACCTGGGTGAGTATGGGGGGGGGGGGGGGGCCTTCCAAATTGGGGCTGGGGGGGCCCTTAATCACCTTCCTCCTCCTTTTGTCCTCCAACTGCCCTTGACGAGCAATCGACCAATCACAACAGACCAATTAAAACAGTTTATACAGAAGTTCTCCCTCCAAGGCCAAATCCACTGCTCTATCAGTAGACTTGGCAGGCGAAAACATAAACTTTCGCAGGTGGCTAGGGACAAACACAGACCAAAAAATAACATCCCAACTTCGCCCCGATACAGTTGCTAAAATAGAAAAGTAGTTGTGGCCGTACAGCTGGATCATTAATGTTTGGCCCAAGGGAACGACATGGAGCTGTGTCAGGGGGGATTTAGGCTGGATCTCAGGGAAAGGTTCTTCCCCCAGAGGGTGGTTGGGCACTGAACAGGCTCCCCAGGGTTTGGGCATGGCCACAAGGCTGCCAGAGCTCCAGGAGGGTTTGGACAACGCCCTCAGGGGCAGGGTGGGATTGTTGGGGTGTCCTGGAGTTGGACCTTGTGGGTCCCTTTCAGCTCAAGATATTCTGGGATTCTATGATTTCTTTTCCCACTTATTCTCCACACTCTGTTCTTAGTAAAACTGCTGCTTTGGGTGCTCTCCTGCACCTGAAAATAAGCTTCAACTCTATGTTTATTCCCACTTCAAGGTGCAAAGTAACCTTCTACTAGCATGGAGTTTATCCAAGCAAACCCCACAGGTTGGGAAAATGACTGGCAGTGGCAGCAGTGCTGCCTTTAGAGCTTGTGTTGGATTTGTCCCTTGTCTGTGCCTGCCTGGGGATAAGAGGGAACAGGGTAGTTCGTGTCTCTGAATATATAATAAGTCATTACCAGACAAAATGCTCTTTCTAAAGCTCGTTATGGCTGATGTTCACCAGAGTTTTGTGCTCTTATTATTCTTTTCTTTCATGCTTCATGCGAGCCCTTCCCAATTCCACTTGCTCTGTTTTCAGCTTCCTTGATTTTTTAATTTGCCATTGGTGTCCCATGTGTAGGTAGAGTGTGTGTCCATTTATTGCAGTTCTGCTGGTATTTTCTTGTGCTGCTCCTCTGGCCTGAATACTTGTCCTTATCCTGCAGTAGCCCTAAGGATATTTCTCTGACCCTCTCTGCTGGCTGCTCAGATCATTTTCTCATCTCCCATATCGAACGTGAATGTTGAATAGGTTGAACTGATTTTAATCCTGTATTATATCCCAGTGATTATTATTATTATCCCAGTGTTTATGCTGTGGAGGAGAAAATGTACACATCTCTTTAATATATCTGTGCATATAAAAACTGCTTGAAAGAAGAGGGTAAATTGTTAAATTTTCTGTATTGTCAGCTCTTTATAGTCCATTCTTCTTTTATTTTGTGGCACACTTTGATTTTTACATTATGTAGCTCTTAGCACCTCAGGTTTAAATCTAAATAGTGCTTGTTGGCCACTTAATGTTTGAGAAAGGTACAGACTTGACACCAAACTCACAAACATACCCTGAGTATTTTCCCAAACCAGGGCTTTATCTACATAACATTTGGAGGGAAAAAGCAGCAGATCCACACATTGTTTCCTGGTGCCTTGTGCAGGGATCCAGGCTCAGACCTCAGCCCTGCGTTTGTGTGGTCTGGAATCCCAGAATGGTTTGGGCTGGAAGGGACCTTAAAGCCCGTCTTCTTCCACCCCCTGCCATGGGCAGGGACACCTTCCACTAGCCCAGGTTGCTCCAAGCCCCATCCAACCTGGCCTTGGACACTCCCAGGGCTGGGGCAGCCACAGCTTCTCTGGGCAACCTGTGCCAGGGCCTCCCCACCCTCCCAGGGAACAATTCCTTCCCAATATCCCACCTAACCCTGCCCTCTTTCAGCTTAAAGCTGTTATGTTATATTGCAGAAATTCTCATCAACCAAGATTGTTTAAGCTAATTGTCAATATCCTTAACTCAGTCTCTTCTTCCTATTGTGATTTTTTTGTTCAGAACAAGAAGAAAACTTTGAGTTTATCATCGTGTCTCTCACCGGCCAGACTTGGCACTTTGAAGCCACCACATATGAGGAAAGGGACGCCTGGGTCCAAGCCATAGAGAGTCAGATCTTGGCCAGTTTACAGTCGTGTGAGAGCAGCAAGAACAAGGTATGGTGCACAGAGTAACACTGAGAATAACTGAGGGATCTTGATTTGGCTTTCATCATTCAGATGAAAGCAAAATCAAGAACTCTGCATTTTAAACCTGTACTCCTGGAGGAATGCGTGCGTTACACCCACAGCAGAGTTGGGGCTTTCTGGGGCAAACATGGCCTGAGAGGAGCAGGTTTCCACCTTGAAATGCTTTTGTATGATGGCAGGAGGGATTTGTTCTCCTTTCCCAGCAAAATAAATGTTTAAAATCTGAGACATCTTCAGCCAGTGCTCATGTTCGGGAGAACATCTTAAGTCAATGTGTCTGCAAACACTTCACAGTTAGAGTGCAAGGTGCTGAGTGGTGGGTGAGGGAGAGAAATGGGCAATAACATTAAAATAAAGACTTGTAGATCCTTTAATATTACCCACCTAACAGTTGTCTTTCATGATTTTATATTGCAAAGAGGAGACTCATATTTTGAATTTAATGCCTGCTTTCCTTGCCCGGAGGTACCAGAGTAGATCAAACACCCAGTCATTACCATCACCACAATATAATTTACTTCCCATTTTCTTTTAAAAAGTGTATTTATTTCCAGTATGCATTACTGAGGTGGAGGAAAATCACAGTGTACATGTTTTCTTGCTTTTTGTGGATTCACACATTCTGATGTGTGTTAGGGGAGCACAGAACAGGAAGTTTGCACCTTAACACCTACACAGAAATATTGATACAAAAGAGGATAAAGAGTGGCTGGTAAGTGGCTCAGAGAGGTTCTCAAAACATGTCAGAAGAGCTGGCTGGAACAGCAAAGGGCAGGTTTAGGAGGTGTTCCATGGAGGAGGTATTTCCACCTGCAAGACCTGGTCCTTGTCCTGCTTGAATCACTTTGTCTCCAAGAGTCCAGCCCTTGGTGCAGGTCACAGTTGGCTTCTCAGAGAGCCCTCCAGACACTTCAGCTGGGTAGAGCTGAACTGCTGAACAACTGTGTGTTGTGACAGCCTCCCCAGGTCCAGGTAGAGGTCACGGGCAGGTCATCGTGGAGAGAATTCAAATGGGAGCCATCGGGTGAAATCTTGACCTTTTCGTGATAAAAAGGTTTCAGCTGCTTTTGCAAACCACCCCTTAGTCTTCATTAGCAAGAGCATGCACATCAATAAAAGAAATTGATCTCAGGAAACACTGTTCTTATTTATCTCCAGGAGCAAACCTGCACTGACTGCTGTTCTTGGGAAGGGGGCTCATTTCCATGCTCGATTTTCCTCTGTGCTGTCTCCCCACTTGTTAGAATCCAGGCTGGAGCCCCCAGAAGCCTTGGAGGTGCCAAAAGATCACTATTTCTTGAGAGGCAAACCCAAGACTTGAGGTTTCTTGCTCACATTCCTTCGACCTTGCTCTGCCCTGTGGGTTTGCTGCCGTTGTCTCTGCTCCCTGTGCCGGGTCCTGCCTGGTTGCTGACGCCTTTCCTTCCCTCCGCAGTCCCGCCTGACCAGTCAGAACGAGGCCATGGCCCTGCAGTCCATCAGGAACATCAGAGGCAATTCCCACTGCGTGGACTGTGAAGCACAGAGTAAGTACAGCCACTCACTTGAGCAGACCGACCTCTTTTCCTTGACCAAGACTCTCCTTGGCCCAGACTCGTGTGAACACCCACCAGAGGCTTTGTCTTTTCCTGTATTACATCCCAGATGCTGTTTGCACGTTCCTTCTTCATTATGAAGTTTGCTTAATCAGACTTATTTGATGTTAATTTATACCTCATATATGCTGCATCAGATGCATCCTGATTTTTTCTCCTTGTTGTTTCACATGCCACTCTAAATGTCAGCATTTCTGTACTTTCCTTTGAGTATAAAGAAAAAAGTTTGCTTTTTGACATCAGTTACTTCCATTTTCCTCCTTTGAGGGCACATGTGCCATGGTAATATTTTCAAAGAGGCAGAGCTTGATTGGTCTTCCTTTGGTTTGGTTTTTAGGGTTACTTGTCAGAAGAAACCAAAGTCATTGCTCATTATATCTGGATACTAGAAAACTGATTTGAGATTATTTTTTTCTTCCCCTTTGTGTTTCTTTCTCTTTTTTTTATTTTCTAAAACATATACTTAGTGTTCAGAAGAGTGTTCTTGAGAATACTTTGAGCTGTGGTTCACCTCACTAACCCTGGCTCAGGTCATTATTCTGGTGCTCTTTAGTTCCAGGGGTTTGCAACAAAGCCACAAAAAGGAAGTTCTCTTGCTCTAAAGCAATTAGTTGTGGGAGCTGAAGGATTGAGAACTTGTGCATTTTTATTTCTTTGATATTTGGAAGTGAGAACTTTTCTTGCAATTTTTGCACATGTTTAAAATGGAAAAATATTCATTTATTTGGGTATACATATATATATATATATATGTATGTATTTTGTTAAGATTTGCTGTTTAGGGTTTTGCCTACTGGTCTAAGCCATTCTAAGACATCCCAGTTTAAAATGGACATTCATATACCAGTGCAAGTGCTTTTGCACAGTTTGGTCTTTATGTTCCACTCAAGGTGACCCAGCTCATGATAAACAAGGGACAGTGTTGGTTTGGCTGATATTTTAACACCCACAGCCCAAAGCCACTCTTATTTATCAGTGTTCTTTCACACAGGTCTGGTGGTCATTGAGATTTCCACCAGGGCTTTGATGTAGTGCAGGTAGAAGGCAGGTGAGGTGGTGGAGGAGAGGGATGGAGTCTGTGAGTGACCTACATGTATATTTAACTCATTTGAAATACTCCCTGCTGCCTGTGAGCAGAGCAGGGGGGCAGTGGAGCTCATTCCTGCTCCAGACTGGCTGTTCAGCTGTGGGTGGCATTTTCCTAGACCCTGCTAACTAGATATATAATATTTTATATTTATATATTTTATAGCTATATATGTTTCTAATATAAATATGTTGTAAATAATATTTCTGATAATTTTATGTTGACTATATATTTATATTTTATAAATATATACATATGGGGGTTGTAATTTATATATCTAACGTGCAGTCCCTTCACTGCAGACAACTTCCCACACCCACACACATCCTCCTGATGCATCTGTGATCCATCTCAGCTCTGCCCAGAATCCAGCTATCCCCAGTCAGGCACATATCCCAGGATTTATGCAGCCAGGCTGGATGTTTAATCAGGAAAATGACTGTGCAAGGAAGCAGCACTGTTTTTTTTTTTTTCATTTTTCTCTTTGTCCCTCTTGCAGCCAGGCTGGGTCTCAGCCAGGTTCTCCGTGGGCCAGGCTGGCCACCCGTGCGTGGTGCCAGCAGGAGGGACGTGCCAGGAACACGTTGTAGGGAGAGGGCAGGGTGGCACAGCCCATTTTGGCAATGCTCTGTGGTGCAGCTTTTGAAGGGGGATGATTCTGGAATCCTGACTGGAACTGTTTGTGTTCTTAGAGATGATTTGCACCCTCATCTTGCCCCTTGACCTTCCTGATTTTAAGACCACGGTCGTTCCTTTGGAAAAATGTGAGATATTTCCAAAGCAATGTATTTTAAAATGTAAACACACACACAGAGGAGGTGAACCTCAGCCTGCTGCTTTTTCTGCAGGGCTTTGCTTTATTCCCTTTTCTCCCTTCCTGCCCTGCCTGGCAGGTCCTCACCCCCAAAAGCCCCAGCTCTCCCGTGGAACACTTACACAGTTTGCATCTCCACAGAGCCAGATGTTTGGGAGCAAAGGAATATGAGATGTTGCCATCTCTCAGCTCTGTTCAAGAGCCATCAATCTTCCACTTCAGAATTCTCATTCTTCCTCTTTCTAGAGCTCTTTGCCTTTTTAGCACTTTGTGCAGCACTTTGTTTCCCCGGGGAATTTCTGCCTTGTTGGATGTTATTCCAGCAGCAGCTGTGTGCTGCCAGCACCCCAGCCCTTTGGCAGCTTCCAACTAAAGTCAGTCAAAGTTCTTATTTCTAACATTCCCATCCTAGAGCAAGAGGTGAGGCTAAGTGCTCTTTAGGTGCTGGAGTTTTTGCCCAAGATCTGATTTCATATTTTAGAAGCAAACTGGTGGTTCCTTTTCCCAGAGCACTCTCTCTGTCTAGAGAAGCCACTGAAGGGAATTAAATTGCTTAGGCAAACCCAACTAAATTTTCTGGATTTTGGCTCTTCCAGTCTTACAGAGATGAGAGGATAAATATGAGCCACTCTTTTGAGGTGTCTGGAAAACATGGAACATCAGGTCTTTGCTGCTGCAGAGGAAAATAGGGAGGGCTTAAAAACGAGTCTCATCGTGAGTTTTCCAGCCCAGGAGTCTCATCACTTACTCTGGGGTATTTTGTATTTGAGAGCCAAACCCCAAAGTAATAATCTGGACAATCCTGTCCTACCCATCACAAGATACAGTTTTATGTGCAGAACAGGAGAAACCCCAAACCTCTCAAGGAATAGGAAAGTTACAGACTTTTCTCTCTCTGCTGTGACTTGAGATGCCTTCACCCCTGCTGCATCTTTCCCTGGCTTGTCTGCTCCTCCCTTCAGGGATTCCCTCTGCTCAGCCCATCTGACACCTGCTGAACTCAGATTTAGCATGGCAAAGCCTTTCACCAGCCTCCTGGGATCCAGAGGGGTGAAGGAGACAGTGGGAGGAGTTATTCTCTCAAAAGAGCTTTCGCCTGCAAATGATCACTGTGACTGAGGTGCAAGGCACAGTGGGGAGGAGGCTTTTAGGGAAAGAGAGAGCCAAACATTTTGGAGAACATGGACAGCTGAATGTTGTTGTCTGGATATATTAAGTGATGCTAAAACCCTCATATTTTGATTGACAAATTGTGAATAAGTAAAAGAGGGGAAAGTAGCTTTATAGCAGGTCTGGCTGCACTGAGGGGGCTTTTTCTTCCTTTTACCATCAAACCTGGCTGTCCATCCTGGAGCAGAGCCTGCCCTGTGCTTGTAAGTATTGTGAGCATCCTCCAGTTCAGAATTACTCTTGGCATCAGCAGAAAAAGGGAGCTGGTTTTGTATCATCTTCTTAAAAGAAAAAAAACCCATGTTGAATAGTTAGAGCTTGTTAACCATGTGTGGATTCTTTGGTATAAATTGGTGAGAACAGTTTCACTTCTGTAACAAATTCAACCCTTGCCTTTCCCCATTTGCCACCTTCACACTCAGCTGTGTGTTGTCAGATTGTTGAAATTTAAAACAGTGTCTGGGTGACATTTCTTGGTTATGGCTTTGGGGACTCCTTCAGCGCTGCCAGCTGGGAGGACCCTTCCAACCCAAACCATTCTGTGATCCCCTGAAGTAGGTGAATATTTAAAGAATTTATTCAGTACAAAATACACTGGATATTCTTCAAGCTGACAGGTATTTGGGAGGGAGGTCAGGTCCTTAACATCAGTTCTGTCAGAATAATTGGAATAATATAAACCACTATTTTATTCTCTTGCTTCATTCTGAGTTCATGCCTCTTAGAGCTCATTGCACTTCTGATTTTTGTGAGGATAACCCTGACCCTTGTAGGTCAGGGATTTCATTCTGAGTCACAGGTTGCAAATTTTAAATTATTATCTGCAGTGTTTAAGTTTATACCAACAAATTGCTGTTTTTTCAGATTGTTTCCCCCATTGGCAAAACAACACTGGAGGTGATCTGAAGAATTATGCAGGAAAGGACTTTGCCCTGGTTGTCACACCAAAAGCTTAGAAAGCATGGCAGGAGTTCAGTCTCACCTTATTTTTTGGAGATGTGGAATGATGTATGTGTATAATATAGATGTTATATTATCTGTAGTATGAGACTTGTTATGGACAGAAACTTTAAAACAGAAGATGTGTTTTTCTGCTCAGGTGGAATAAGATGGGGGATTTTTCTTGTTGGGGATGTTTTTGGATTTCTGTGGACTGACTGAAAAATGTCAGTCAATGAATCAAAGTCCCACAGTGAAATGTGGGACTTTTCAATTAAAATTACCTGCTTTCCCTTCCTGTTTTTTGTCCAAACGTCACGTGGCGAAGAACTACAAAACGTTTTGTTTCCATGTATTTTGGCTGCCAAAAATAACTTTTCAGTTTTGGGTTGCACAAAGTTAAAATGAGTCTTTGGATTAAATATTCCTGGAAGGAAGGTAATGCTGGAAATTCATTTTCTGTCAGCTCTAAATTTTATTTAGATGGGAGTAAGAATTGCCTGCCCTCTTAGTTAATTACCATTTTCCTGCTTGGCATTTGGGATAGTCCTTTGGGATGCACAGGCATGAAGAGAAGATCTGACAGCAGGGGAGAGAAAAAAAAACAACAAACATTCTTCTCATATGTCTTCAGTTGCATTTGTGAAAGCGAATGTTTGTTGGAGAGAGGGTGATTCCTACAAATCTGGATTAAAATCACACAGGGCAGTGGCAAAAGAGTTGAACCATGCTGGGAAATGGAATTTCCCATCTTGCCTCAGGTTTGTCCCAGCCCTGTTGTTTGTGGGGTTTTTCTAGGTGGGTGGAATCCTTCTGGCTCAAACACTAAAACTGGGGCTGTTCCAAGTGTCCCATTTCCATCTTAGTGCTGATCTTGGAGATGGAAGCACCCCCCAGAGTGCGTCAGGGGTAAGAGCCACGTGTGGCTGATGATATAGGTGGATGTTGAGGCAGTTGATGTGATTGGCAAGAGAGAATTTTGTTGTTGTTGTTCCTTATTTATTTTTTTTGTCGAGTTTTTTGTTCTTTATTTTTTTTTCTCTTTTTCCCCTTGTAATTGGCTCTGAGCAGCTCGGGGTGCCCAGGGAGGGCCTTTCTCCACTGCTTCACCACCCGCTGCCCATCACTGCACTTATATTTTGTTTCTCCTTTTCTCTCTAATTCATAGTTTTTCTTTTGACTGGAGGTGGAGTGATACATCTTTTGAGACACCCCACTTTTTGTTTTGTTTACTCCTTGAGGGTTTCTCAGAAGGGTTGGGATCTCCACTGGCATCTCCACTGACCCCACTCCAGCCCTCCCAGCTGCGCTTTCGGACAAGACACCCCTGGAGCCAAGCTCTTTATCCACAAGCAGCATTCTGTTGGCTGTTTCACTGTCCTAATCTCTCGTGTCCCTCCTCCTGCAGACCCTGACTGGGCCAGCCTGAACCTGGGAGCCCTCATCTGCATCGAATGCTCAGGTATCCACCGCAACCTCGGCACGCACCTGTCCCGGGTGCGCTCCCTGGACCTGGACGACTGGCCCATCGAGCTCATCAAGGTGATGTCGGCCATCGGCAACGAGCTGGCCAACAGTGTGTGGGAGGAGAACAGCCAAGGCCACATGAAGCCCTCCTCAGACTCCTCGAGGTGGGTTTGCTCGGCCCGTCTTGCCCTGGCGTGCGGCAGGCGGGGGGGGGGGAGTGATGCTGCTGTTTTTTAAACTCTCCCTCACCATGTGCCTTGTACAAATCCTGAGTTATATCTTCGCTGAGTGCCCAGGAAGAGCAGGTGTCTGAGTGGGGGTGTCAGAAGTTGAGTGACCCCGTTACTTTTTCCTTCTTGTGGAGGTTTCCTCAGCAGCTCGGCGATGTTTTCGTTCAGTGACTGACCGACAAACCAGTGGGAGATGGAAACCTCCCGCTTGGCTCTTCCTCAGCCTAAATTACCCTGCCCTGTGTCTCTTTGTCTCGCTCGGCCACAAAGTTCCTGGCTCTTGGACTATCACTTTATGATTAATAATCTGCCTTCAGAAGTTCAAGCTCACTCAGGAATTTGTACCTGGCTGTCAGGTCTCTGGGTTCTCCTCATGGATGTTCAAAGTCCTGCTCACTATGGACTTGATTACTACTTTTTATGTGATGTATGTGAAACCATAAGCTGGTGGAGGGGTTGTTTCCTGTGAGAACAGCATTTTACCTACGTCCTGTAGCTCCACACAGTGAAAATCTGTCTGTGATCCATTGTCCTACCAAAACCTAAAGGTTTTTGTGCTTAATTTATCTGTTCAGTGTCAAAGAAAGATGTTTTGGAAATGCTTTGGTGGTTTCAGTAGATTTGAGGTGACTGGCTCTAACATACTGGCTTGGGGGAAGCAGTGGCAGAGGGTTCAGGCAGGACAAAGACCTGCTGGGCCAGCCTGCACAGCTGGGCCAGGCTTTGCAGTTGGCTTCAGAAGGCTGTGACGGGGGTCTGAGCAGGAGCTCTGGGGGGCTCCATCCCAGGATGGAGGTTCAGCTCTCGGTGTTGCCTCCTGCACACGGGAGAGCTCAGCGGGAATTCTGTCTTGGCTTTGTCCACGTGTATCCCAGGATCCTGCTTTTCCCAGGTGAAATGGCAGGTGAACCTGGGCCCCCTCCCATGGTGCAGGAGTAGGTTTGTGCTGTTGTGTGTGATCAAGTCAACTGTTTCTTGTTGCCTTCTTTCGTTAGCCCTGAAAAATGAATTTGTGGTGCCACCTTTGGTTCATCTTCGAGAATGAAGCCACTACATTAATCAGGCTACTTAGATGAATCACTGCATATAGAAGTGCTCAGGGAGACCTAAGGAGAGGGTTTGTTCAGACATAAAGGGGATTCCTGCTGTAGGTGTGTGTTTTATTAGACAGGTAACATAATGATTTCATCAGGTACAGTGTAATCCAGAGTTCTCATATTCTTGCATCTGACAAATACATGTTGCTCCTTACTGTTGAGAGGAGCTGGAGAGATGCCTCAGTTCTAAATACTTGCAAGGAAAAGGCTTATGCTCAATTGATATTTTATTTAAAAAAAAGAAAGATTGCATTATTTTAGTAGTCATATAATAAACATCATGAAAAATCTAAAATCCATGTGACTGTGATAAAAAGAGCACCATCCATTTGAATTAAGTAATTTATTTGAGATTGAGTTTTACTTATAGAAAATCAACTTTATTCTCTTTGTATTTCATGCTCAGGGCTTATTTTAATTCTCCTGCTTTGTTTCTGTACATCTTCGTGGTTATATTCAACTGCTTCTGATTGTCACCGACACCATTGCACTTTCTTTCTTGCACTGTAACATTTTGGGACAAAAAGATTCATTTTATAAATAGGAATTTCCAACTCTGTGTTCAAGTGCACAGTTGTGTGATGGAAGAGGTGCTAGAAAAAGTAGAATTAAGATGATGTGAAAATTTTCCCACAAAGCAGTTGTAATCTTGCTTTGCTGCTTCCATCCTTCTGCTGTTTGCAGCAGGGACTGAAGTGAGATTTTTCACATAAATACCACAAAGCTCTGCTTCTTCCAAGTGTGTGCCTCCTTTTGTGCTTTACTTTGGTCTCTGCCAGCATCACAATCCTTCTGTCTGAGCTGTGGCAAGAAAGTAAGTTCAAGTTGTTTGGGTAGAAGTTGTGTGTGCCATTTTCTCAGTGCTGTTTAAAGTTTGGCATGAGGAATCCCATTGGAAGCAGCTAAAATGGACCTGAAAGGAGGGTTAAACAACCCCTCTTTTTTTGTTGTTGGGGATTGAAGGGGAGAGAGGCAACTGAGGCTGAGGGACTGGGGGAAGAGGCAAGAAAGTAAGTGAGAAGAAATAATTTGGGGAGCTGAGATTTGGAGTTCCAGTGGAGAAGGGATAGAGGCAGACCAAGGATGTTTGGAGATTAGGGAAGACGGAAGTGTTTAGCAAAGCCCCTTCTGAAGGGGAAGAAAGCTGAGCGCTGGTGCTGGGGGGCTCCAAGAGAGCTGGGGAGGGACTGTGGACAAGGGCCTGGAGTGACAGGACACAGGGAATGGCTTCCCACTGCCAGAGGGCAGAGTTAGATGGGATATTGGGAGGGAATTCTTGGCTTGGAGGGTGGGGAGGCCCTGGCTCAGGTTGCCCAGAGAAGCTGTGGCTGCCCCATCCCTGGAAGTGTCCAAGGCCAGGTTGGGCGGGGCTTGGAGCAACCTGGGCTAGTGGAAGGTGTCCCTGCCCATGGCAGGGGGTGGAATGGGATGAGGTCCCTTCCAACCCAAACCATTCTGGAATTCCGTAAGCAGATTTCCAGGTCGTTCGGTGCCTCCGGATCAAAAGCAACACCTTGGATGGCCTCGAGCATTGACCTGGGAGGTTTTGGGAGCGCAGATGTGGTGGGATTCCCCAAGGAAGCCGTGTGGGATAAAGCAATAGGACGAGGCAGAGGTCGGGCTGAGGGTGTTGGTGTGATCCCAGGGAAGAAGGGGGAATAAGCAGCAGAAAAAGTTGGTGAGGCAGCAGAAAACCTAAGCACGTGTGGATCCTGAGTATGAAAGGGAACGGGGACCAGCTGGCCCTGAGCAGGGGTGTCCGTGGGTCCATGATTAGGTCAGCTTTGGAAAGCTGGTAATTGGTTCCAGCAATTACCAGAGCCCTGAGAGCCGCCGCTCAAACTTCGGGAGCCCTGTGACAAATTGGAGCTGACTGCTGGTGCAGGAGTATTGACTTCCCGTTTCCAAACAGGGGCATCATTAGTCAAGAAAAGTATCTTTTAATTACTCACAGGAAGAAAAAAAGAGAAAGGGGGGAAAGAAAGGAAACAGATCTCTCAGTATGGATCGTGCAACAACCACCAGGTTTTTTGTGAGTGTATTCAATATTAAATTTACTGTCTTGGCGGGGGGAGCGGGCAGAGTTTGCCTGCAGTCCCTCCCTCGGTAATGCGGGTTTAATTTGGAGTGAGAAGTCAAATTAGAGTAAATCAATGTTGCGACAATTAACCGGGGCTAGGGATGAGATCAGGACTCTTCTCTAATTGCTATTGATACTGTTTGAGCACACTCTGCCAGCGGTGCTTTGCAGTGGGGCAGCACACCAGTGTCCCGGTGGGGCAGCGCTGCTCCGGGAACGTTGGAGAGGTGGGGAAGCCAACCTGGGGACTCTGTGCCATGTGTGACCTGGGCCTTTTGCACTGGTGTGTCAGTCTCCTACAGGTATTTACCTTTCTCCTGGACACACCTTGCAGGTTTTGCTTTCTCCGCATTACTGTTCCTACCCATGTGGATTCTGTTTGCAGACTTGGTTGCCACCATCGACTTCCTGAGATGTTGTTGGCCTTTTCCAAAGGGGACAAGCTGCCACCATACCCCTGCCCACTCCTGGAGACGATTATCTGCTCCCTCTCCCTCTTCCTCTGAGCTCCCAAGGTCTCCATCTCTGTCTCACTGGGATGATGTGTCACCTCCACCAGCTGGAAGCTGGTGGGCAAACAGAGGGAAGGCAGGGTCACGTCCAGGCACCCTGCTTGTTTTCCTACTCAAGTGATACCAGATATCTGCATTAGCTACCCTAAAGGGCTAACCTTAAGTGCAAACCTTAAAAGGCTCCACCATTTTGGTATCTTTTTAAGAATATTCATAAATAGGACAAACACCCAATTCCATTAAAACTGTATTTTTTAAGTGATGGGTGGCAGAAGCCCAGGCGTGGTTTTAAGCTCTGCTCTTTAGCTGGAGCATCTGCAGCAGTCGTGCTCGGGTTTGTTTGCACAGCAGTCGCCCTGTTTGTTCTGGGTACCAAAGGTGGTAGGAAAATCCAGTGCTGGCTGAGCAGTGTGGAGTTGGGAGCCAGCAGTGCCGGGAATTGCCTTTCACCTTCCGCTGTGAGATCCAGTTTGATCCCTCACTCACTAATGAACTGAATTTAATGGTGTCGAGAAAACATTATGCAGCTCGACTGTATTTAGCTTAGTTTTACAGTCCTGCACTAGAGCCTGGCTTGCTGTTCCGAGGCTGAACTGCTTTCTGGGGTATAACTGATGAAAAATATGTCTTCTGTGAAAAAAATGACCCATACCGTCTTTTTTTCGCAAAAATAATTAATCCTTTATTATAGACAGTGCAAATAAAGGGCAAGCCCTGGGAAACAGGGTACTTGGGATCCCAGAATCGTATCCTGGGTCTGGTAGGGATGCCTCATCTCTGGCTCCTTTTGGAGCTGCTGTTATGGTCCTGTTGGTCTTGGATTCCTGGCATAAGGCGGCAGCGTCACAAACGGGGCCTGGGAGAGCATCGGGACCTCTCTGTCCGCATTGTCAGCTCCGGTTTCTTGGCGGTTCTTGGCCTGATGAGGTCAGTGTTTTGTGCCTTTTCAGTGCTCCTCCACGCTTGACACCTTTCCCGTTTCAGGGATGGGGGAAGGGGGTTTTTAAAAATAAATTAAAAAAAAAAAAAAAAGGAAGATTTTATTGTGAAGGGCTGACCAGAACCCATCTGCAGTTGGGTGGCATCTGCTCCCCACATGTCACTTCCCTCATTAACAAGCAATTGAATTAATTAAATGCTACTCAGAACACGCATAACAAGCTACCGGCAGTGTCCAAATTAGCACTGATAATCAAGGATGATTTCCTTTATTATCCTGCTAAGTGGTGTGCAGGCTCTGATCTC